AGAGGTCGACTTCGACACTTATTAGTGGTCCAATAATGATATTCCAATAATATGGTAAATCAAGGATTTTCAAAAAATTGGATGTAACTCAGTAGCATGAGGCAAGTAAATAATTCTTTCGTTTATAGGAAATTTTTAAATTCATTTTAATCATTTATACATTTATCTCAGGTCAGGGAGAACAAATATCAACATCTATAAACTTTAAGGCTAGCAATACAAGCATGCGCAAATCATGCCGAGGTCGTACGACCCGATCCAACAATATTTAAACTGTGCACTGCCAGAGGGTCGAATGACGCGAACCATAGATGCATCTATTACCCCGCTCGCGAATCATACGTGCAACGTGATCAAATATAAATAATAGAGTTACCCCGCTCACGAATCACACATGCGACGCAGGTACCCATAGATACACACATTCAAACAGTCAATCAAGACTTCATCAGGAAACAATTATCCAAGAAAAGGCAATTCTCTTTTAAAAATCAAGAAAGGATAACTAGTCTTTTAGAAATTCATTTACACGTTCGATATGTTTTAAGCATTTTTTAAATTGACAACAAGATTTCAAATATTGCAAGTAAAGCATGCTTTTGGGTCCTAGACTACCCGGACTTAAGCATAATAGTAGCTATGCACGGACTCTCGTCACCTCGTGCGTACGTATCCCCCACAAATAGAAGCACATACTCAATTAATTCACCTATGGGGACAATTCCCTCATACAAGGTTAGAAAGGAGACTCACCTCGTCTCAATGCTTACTTTCCGGTCCAAGAATGAGCTCAAACCCCCAAATCGTTGCTGAACAATCCAAAACTATTCAAATGGTGTATAAACAAATCAATATACGCTCAAAAATTCATATTCCGACCATTAAGGTGATTACCCAACCCTAAATGTAAGACTCCTAAAATTCACCCCCGGGCCCATGTGCCCGGATTCCGGGAATTTTCAAAGAAAGTTATTACCCATAACCTTATGAAGTCAAATATATGATTTTTACCAAATTCCATAATAATTTTTGTGGTCAAATCTCATTTTTATACAAAACCTAGGTTTTCATCTAAACCCTTGATTTCACCAATTTTTACATGTTAATCTATCCATAATCTATGTATTAAACTCATGTTGTGTAGAAATTACTTACCTCAAAGTGCTAGGTGAAAACCCTCTTCCAAAAGCTCCAAAAATCTAGCAATTAACAAATAAGACTCTACTCCTATTCCCTCAAGCCAAAGTTAGACCAAACACTTACCTCAACTTTCACGGCTAAATCAATCCACAACGACCGTTTTCCCTTTTGAATTCGGCTCCAACCCAATCAAATCTATGAAATAACGACTTTATAATATCAATAATAGCTAAACTAATCAAACCCAATGCCTAAATATAAATTTCCAAGCTTTCTTCCCAAAGTTTCCAAAAATGCCCCCGGGCCCGCTTGATCAAAATACGAGGGTCGGACCAAAATCAAACCCCCCATTCACCCACGAGCCCGAATTTATAATTTATTTTCAAATTCGACCCCAAAACTGGGTCTAAATCAAGAAAAAAATTGAAAAACCCTAACTCTACCCATTTCCCTAATTTTCTACCATTAAAACCCTAAGATTATTGATAAAAGTTGATGAAAACACTAGATAATGGAAAGAAATCAGTTAGTAAGTGCTTACTTGTGATTTGAGAAGAAAATCTCTTGAGAAAATCGCCCTAGTCTTCTAATTGTTGAGAAAGTTTGAAAGAAAATCGCTGAAGTTATGTTTTTAAAAAGACTCACTGCCCGACTTCCGCATCTGCGGTACAGGGGTCGCACCTGCGCCACCGCACGTGCGGAAAAATGGGCGCTTCTGCGAAAATGGCTAGGCCCCGCTGGAGCCGCACCTGCGAAGAAAAGATCCGCTTCTGTGGACCGCATCTGCGGGGTAGGAATCCGCATCTGCGAAGGAGACCACATCTGCGACCCGCTGTTCGCACCTGCGAGTCCGCATCTGCGGCCAAAGGACCGCAGGTGCGGTTACACCAGAACTGGTGCATCAGCAGTGATTTTCTGTAATTTTTTTTCTAAGTTTCAACCACCCCGAACATCCCCGAAAATACTCCCGAGCCCTCGGGGCTCCTAACCAAACACGTACACTAACTCAACAACACCCTACGAACTTAACCGTGCGATCAAATCGCCAAAATAACATCAAAAACGAGGAATCAAACCTTAAAATCATTACTTTTTCATCAAACTTCATAAACCTTCATTTTTAGATATTTAGGTCCGAAACACGTCAAACGACGTCCGATTTCGACCAAATTTCACAGGAAGCGCTTAAACCACATATAAGACCTGTACCGGGCGCCGGAACCAAAATACGGGCCCGATACCAACGCTTTCTAATCCACTTTCATTTCAAATTTCCATATAAATTTCCGGAACCTCGGATTTCGATTCCGGGCATACGCCCGAGTCCCATATTTTTCTACGGACCCTCCGGGACCGTCAAATCACGAGTCCGGGTCCGTTTTACCCAAAATGTTGACCAAAGTCAACTTTAACCATATTAATATCAAAATTCATCAATTTTTTTTACACAGAATTCATATTTAAGCTTTCCGGCTACGCGCCCGGACTGCGCACGCAAATCGAGGCAAGTAAAAATGAGGTTTTCAAGGCCTCGGAAGCACGGAATGAAAGGGAAAACAGGTGATGATCCTTTGGGTCGTCACACTTGACTTCTTAATATAGAAGTTTAGGCAAGATCTTAAGTACGTAGATTTCTTGTTTCCTATCCAGAAACTTGAATTACAGCATTGATGGACACATGACTTGTCTTTTCTAAATCTAAAAGACAACAAAAGAATGATTCATTAAGAAAAAGTAATGAATTGATACCAAATGGCGCAGCCACTCGGAAGCATATCACAGATCTGATACCCGTACCCGTTGGCCATGGCTCATGCTCTGGTGCCTGTCGTTCTCATTGACCAATTCATGGGTGAGCTGGAGCCATATCAAAATTTTAGTTCTACGACAGTCAAATAAATATCATTATCTTCAAACATATTATATTGCCTTTTTTCCCCCTGCTCAATAAACTGCGGCTTTAAATTAAAACAGGGAATTTAAGGAGGTTACGTGAGGCACTAATCTTGATGATTGAGTTCTATGCAAGTCTACGCAGAATTTAAATATAGGATGCGTGATTCCAAAAGATATTCTTATATTCAGAGGCGACTTTAGAATTTGAAATTTATGGGTTCCTACAGTATCTAATACTGTAGGAACTAAGTTCACTATCTAATACTTATAGATATATAATAAATTATTTTGTAACATATATAAGGTCTGGCCAAAAGTTATTGGGTTCTCGGCAACTCGCTACTTAACCTCTATATCCGTTGCTGCTCCTGTTCACCTAATCCATGCGAAATCCAAGATTTTCTAAAGTGAGCTACCACCACATTAAGAGAGGACATCCATAGCTTCAAGAAGAAGCCAGAATTCCACAAATGTGAACAAGATGCAATTTGTGAAGGTGATGAAATTTGATCGATCAATACTTGAAATTTATATCCACAATAAGAGAAAACAATATTATAGTTTATGTATAATTTTAAAATGATTGGAGTAATACTAATTAATTTTGTATAGTCCCTAAATATTTATAGATGTTATATTTTTTTTAACTATAAATTAATCCTTCCGTTTCAATTTATTTGCCTTCATTTGACTTTACACAAGTTTAATAATGGAAGAAATACTTTCGAAACTTGTGATCTTAAATATGTTAGTAATATTTGTTTGGCTATAAAATTTTGAAAATTGTTATCTTGAACAAGTCATAGCATTTGTGTGGCTATAAATCATAAATATTTCCATGAACAAAATATGAAAATATATTAATCTTTTTAGAATGGACTAATAAATAAATAGTGGCAATCTTTTTAAAATAAAGAAAATAAATATACATATGATGCAAAATCAATAAACTGACCCCTCGAAAAGTAAAATATGTTAAAATTTTGCGCTTTTTCATTCTGGATAAGTCATAAATGTTACATCATAAAAAGAACGGTCGTCATTGGCGATTCTCAAATTGCAATAAACAAAGTGACAAGTCGAAAGAAAGGGATTTCCTGGTTTAGACAGAAAGTATGATTGATTGCTTATGCAACTTAATTTTCGCAACCAGCCGCCTCAACCCCTTTTTATCGAAATACCAAAGCCGGAGACAATTGTCATGGCTCAACTTTAAAAAAGCAAGGATCATTATCTCGCTTTACCTTCATATCTTTTTACGGCGAATACTAAAGAAAATCATAAATACAAATATGTTGGTATATATACAAGTACAATTAATACTTGTAATATAAAGATTAATAATGCATCAATCGTTTTGACTGGGCATTGGGTATGATATATATACTCATACATAAAGTATTATATAATATATAGAGAGAGTTTACTACTTTATCACTTAACTATAATGAATTAATATTGTTCGATATAACCAGGGGTGAAGGTACATAGCCATAAGAGTGGTCAGTTGACCACTTCATCAAAAAATTACATTATATATATATAGGTAAATATTAAATTTTAGTAATATATAACATATATTGAACACTTTTTATCGGAATTTCTTTTTAATTATTTTAAGTTTGAATATCCTAAATAAAATTTCCGACTTCGCCAATGGATATAACTCTCTTACCTATACCCATCTCCTCCGTCAACACATCCCACATTTCTTTCTTCTTCGAAGTTAACATATAGACGAAGGGGCAAGGGCGTTTTTTAAGGCATATATCCACTTGGTTCCACCGCACACGGTAAGCTCATAATTATGCTCCTATACCCCGTATAAGGACAGCACCTCAACATTGACCGGTTTTGAGTTTACTACATTTGCGCCAACTTGTGCATTATCATACATTTATAATCATATAGTTTTCAATATCTAATCTAGTCAATGCAAATTTTTTAAAGATTCGGATGAACAGTATTCATAACTAATTAATTATCCATCTATAAATACGGATAGCAAGAAACGAAGGATCATATCATCAAACAGCTAAAAGAAGAAACTAAAGATGTCTCCTTCATTGCCTACTATATTTCTTGCCTCTCTCTTTCTTTTCTGCCAAATATTTTCTTCAATTGCCCAAGTCCCAGTTGAAAACACCTTCAAATTCGTCAATGAAGGTGAATTAGGACCTTATGTTGTCGAATACCTAGGAGATTATCGTGCTTTTTCTGGAATTTTCACAAATCCATTCCAGTTCTGTTTTTACAACACTACCCCTAATGCCTGGACACTAGCTTTGCGCATGGGCACTGTCAGTTCTGAATCTCTAATGCGTTGGGTATGGGAAGCTAATAGGGGAAATCCTGTCAAAGAAAATGCCACTTTCGCTTTAGGAACAGATGGAAATCTTGTCTTGGCCGAAGCTAATGGTCGAATTGCTTGGCAAACAAACACAGCCAATAAAGGTGTCACTGGTTACAAGTTGTTACCAAATGGTAACTTTGTACTTCATAACTCAAAGGGAAAATTCATTTGGCAGAGTTTCGACCATCCCACTGACACTCTTTTAGTGGGCCAATCGCTCCGCTTATCAGGCCCGAATAAGCTCGTGAGCCGGGCCTCGGTGAAAAAGAATGCAAACGGGCCTTACAGCTTGGAAGTGAAACCGGAAATATTCGGTATCTATAACAGAACCAAGCTTGCCGTAGAATTAGCTTGGTTTGATTTCAGAAATAGCACTTTGGAATCAGTAAAATTGAACAGCGGAAATCAAAGGGTGAAGTTGGACTACAGATTGGCTAAATCAACAACAAGAAGTTCCCATGTTATGGCGTTTACTAAAATCAACACAACTTTAACATACCTTCGGCTAGAGATAGATGGAAATCTCAAGGCCTACACTTTCTACGAAGACAAAGAAGAAGACAGATTCCGTTGGCGCGTAACTTATAACATGCTTTAAGAATATGCTTTTGCATATCAGAATTATAGCTTTATAATATAAGGATTTTCATATTCAGAACAATAATAAGTGGATAAAACGAGTGGTTCCACAGCTATTCCAATAGGTTAGGGATTCCTATGTAGAGCTAGAATTTTATTTCCTTTCTTTTACTTTTTTTTTGGTTGAGGGTTGTGTTTTATTTATGATTTCTATTTTTTTTCCGATTGAAGCGTGTATTTTTATTATGTTTTCTATTTAAGAGATGCTTTGTCAACTGTGAGATCTCGATGACTTGTTAATTTTCTTCTTCATACTGCTCTAACCATATAACATGTTACTTTATAGACTTCTAAATTTAGAAATTTAGGTAAGATCTAAAGTACGTAGAATTCTTCTTCCCTATTAGAAATCAACAGACTCAGCACAGTGTTAGAATTATTATTATTATTGGCTCCGATGAGACTGCAATAATCCCGATACCTAAAGTTTGTGGCTAAAGGCTCCAATGAGAGTGCAATAATCTTTGCCTTTTTCTTTCACCATTTTTTTCTACCTTAAGTACATAGTACTCCTTCCGTCCTGATTTATATGACATTTTTTATATTTTGAGAGTCAAAATTTTGTTTGTCTTTTAATCATTTTGAATTATTAATTATTGTGACATATAATACTTTTTACATACTTCCCAAATATATAAAAGCCTATTTGGCCAAGCTTCTAGGAAGCTAAAAGTATGTTTTTTTGTTTAAAAAGTATTTTTGGAAAATTTGAAATGTTTGACCAAAATAAAAAGTGCTTTTGAGCAGCAGAGTTTTTCTATTGTGGGGAGAAGCTACAAATTTTAGCTTCTTCCAAGAATCAAAAGCAGAAAGTTAATTTATTCAAGACAAAAATATCCTTAAAATAAATTTATATTTTTCAAATTATCTCTCATTATTTAACCTTTTTCCTTTTTTTCTTCTGTCATATATTTCTTTTCTTTTTTACTTCCTTCATATTTTTATTCTCTTCTTATGTTCCTCTTTGGAATAGTCTTTCAACTATAAACAAATATCTTCTTTTATACAGTGATTTATAAAAATAGAGTTTTAGTTTATATTAAAGGATGTATTTTGTATATTTAAATCATCATGTAAACAATAAGTATTACTAGATAATCAATATTATTTCTTTGGAACAATAATATTTTATATTGATTAAAATCTTTTTATATTTTTACTTTATTTTTTTGTTGAATTTCTTTATATAAATATTTAAATATCATCCTCTTTCTTAAATAATACTAATTGAAAATTGAACATTTACTTCCTTTTTGTAATTTGATACTCAAAATTCAAAAGTACTTTTTGGAAAGATTAGCCAAATATAATTTTCGTATCAAAAGCACTACTCAAATTAATTGGCTAAACACAAACTCTTACTATACAAAAGTACATTTTTCGAAGAATACTTTTGAACAAAAGCATTTCTCAAAATAAGCAACATTGGTAGCTTAGCCAAAGGGGCTCGAAATTGTATTTTGAAAAAGTAAAACTATGTCCAAATACATTGTCACAATTAAAAGATTAATTGTTAGAAAGCGAAAAGTGTTATATAAATTGGGACAACCGACCGAGGAAGTATGATAAGTGCATTTTATCTGATCTTAACCACGTAATTTGTCTCGTAAAAGCAAAAAAATTATCAGGTGGTAAAGCAAAGAAAACACACAAAGAAGTATTGCGTGACAATGCTCCAATCTTGATTTGCCATGACGAAATCGACAAAATCCAAACTTAAAATGAAGTTTTCTCATATCTGCAAATGTTAAATCTAGATTTGCTATGAAAATCTAGCACCAAATCGAGAAGTCATCATGAAATTTTCTTATATAAAGATGTTGCCCAATTAGAATAGGCATTGAAGTGGATCTTGAATTTTTAGATGATTTCAAAAAAACATTTGAGATTCTTAAGGAACATTTGACTAATGCTCCAATTGTTGTTTCTCTTGATTGGAGCCAACTAGGGGTGGGTATTCGGCCGGTTCAGTTCGGTTTGAGGAAATTCGATTCGGTTATTTGATTTTCGATTTTGTAAAAGTAGTAACTGAAACCGAAATAAAATAAGTTCAATTCAATTCAATTTTCTAATTTCAGTTCGATTTATTTCGAATTTGTCACGACCCAATTTCTCCTATAGGCCGTGATAGCGCACAACGCCGCTGCTAGCAAGCCTACAATGAGCTAACCACTTGATTCCCCTTTTAATAAATTTTCAAGTAGTTAAACTTTCCTTGATTTAAAGGATAAAGAAACAACAAGGTTAAAATAAATAAAGCGAAAGCAGCTAAGTGCAATCATAACCATAGAAATAAACCAAACCACAAGTCTACTAGTGTATGTGCCAAGATCTGGTGCCACAAGTGTATGAGCACTAATAGATTATACAAAACTCTAGTTACTGTTTGAAATCAAACTAGAGAGAAATGGAAGTAAGGAGAGACTCCAGGATGCTGTGGAACGAATCAGGAAAAGCAACTCACCACTAGGCCTCCGGGTAACGAGGGTGCGCGTGGTGTTATCGCCAGATGCACCTGCCTCAGATCCTGCACAGTTAGTGCAGAAGTGTAGCGTGAGTACATAAACAACATATACCCAGTAAGTACCAGGTCTAACCTCGAAGAAGTAGTGACGAGGAGTCGACTTCGACACTTACTATGGGCTAACAATTTAAATATAAAAATTCTAAAATAACAGGGGTTTAATTCACTAACGAGCAAGGACAATTAAATTCATTCACAAATTAATAAACTCCAAGTAAATTCCTGTCATTTATACTTGTAACCTCATAACCACAATTTAATATCAAACATGATTAGGCTCCGAGTATTATTAAGCAAGAATTATGCCGAGGTCATACGAACCAATCCAGAATAACGTGTACACTGCTGAGGGACGTGCGGCACAATCCAAAGATGTATCTATTCCACTGCCGAGGCGTTCGGTCCGATCCACAAGAAGGGAGGATACTTTATAACCATTTAACTTTCATGTTATAATAAGGCCAATATGTGTCACGACCCAAAAATCCACTAGTCGTGATGGCACCTAACCCAACCAGCTAGGTAAGCCAACTAATAACTATCCGATTTCAATAATATTTAACAGGACAATTAATCAATGAAATTATCTGAATCTTATACACTTCCCAAGGACTGGTAGTACAAATCATGAGCTTCTAAGTATAGAGTTTACAAAGCGGATATGAAGTAAATACATCTTTTATTTGAAATGTACATAAACAGAGTTTTATAATCTAAGGCTACCATGAACAAAAGGCAGCTACAACAGGGATGCAGGTACACCTTGAAATCCAGCTCCCATCGAACACAGCAACAACATCAGCCAACATTTGCACGCAATGTGCAGAAGTGTAGTATGGGTGCAACCGACCCCATGTACTCAATAAGTAACAAACTAAACTTAGGTTGAAAGTAGCGACGAGCTGGAACATAGATCGAGTCCAACACCAATAACCAACAGCAGTTCATAACAACGTAGAGCATATAAATAAGGAAGTAACTCAGAGATAAAATGCTCATCTTTTTCACAGTTTTTCCGAAAATAGTTCCTATTTTTCAAGAATATCAGTGAAAATCCAAATCTTTTACCGAAATCGTCGAAAAAATATGAGATAGTTTGAAAATTGTAATTTTTCCAAAAAAATACTTTTCACAATAAATAAGATGTTTTATTTTCTTTATAGATAGCAAGTGTGAAATACCTCTCTATGCTCACATATACTACGCCACATATTAATGTGTCAAAAAAAAATTCATGAATGATGTGATACCGTACAGGATGAGTAAAAATGCATCTCTATGCCTGTATGTCATGTGTGCATGCCAATGCCATGTATCTCAGAGATGAATCATGTACTCACACTCTTAGAGTACTCGATCTCACTGTCTCACACTTTGCACTAATCATTCTCAACCACTCGGTACTGTATATGGCCCATTGGGCCAGGAAAGATCCATCCCGGAATATATACATCACTCACCAACAGTCACTCAGTACCGAGGAAGGCCAATCTGGCCCCATGGAGAAGATCCATCTCCAGATAAATAAATGCTTCGGACAAGATTCATGTCCAGGGAAAATCCATCCCTCAATATAATCATCCGCGCTCACTGGAGTGTGTACTGACTCCGGAGGGGCTCCTACAGCCCAAGCGCTATAATCTGCATGGACAACTCACGTGCCATAGTATCAATATCAAAATCCGCACGGACAACTCAAGTGCTGTATGGAAAACTCACGTGCTAAAGTATCAATGTCAGAATCCGCACGGACAACTCACGTGCTATAGTATCAATATTCTCACAATCAGACCCTCGGTCTCACTCAGTTATCAATCTCACCAGTCTTACTCACGGGCTCACAATATCATGAAGCTAGCCCGACAATAATGATACGATGTGTCAATAAATAATAATTGAGACTGAGATATGATATGAATGCATGGATATGATTTAGTATGAAATATCAATAAAATCAGTGAGGTGACAGTAAGAAATGACCATTACGGGTTCCAACAATATTGGCATAAAGCCTAAACACGATATCTAGCATGATTGACAGCTCAATTACTTTATCACATGGCGAACACACATATATAAACAAAATAGGACCACTATAAAATGCCATGGAAACAACGTAGTCACAATTCACAGGGTGCGCGCCCATCACCTAGTATGTACGTCATCTCAACATCAATCACATAATATGTAATTTGAGGTTTGATACCCTCAGCACTAAGTTTAGAAGAGTTACTTACCACAAATAAGCCAATTCCAATACCGAGCAAGCCAAGCGATGCTCCAAGAATGCCATCACGCGCGTACCGACCTCCGAACGACTCAAAACTAGCCAAAAGCAACTCAAATACATCAAATAAAGCCCAAGGAAACAAATTCCAAATGATAAAGATCGAATCCTTAATCAAAACCCAAAATCGACCACAATTCACACCTGGGCCCACGCCTCGGAACCCGACAAAACTCATAAAATCCGATAACCCATTCGATTACGAGTCCAACCATACTAGTTTCACTATTCCAACTCCAAATCGATGTTCAAAACTTAAAAATTCATATTATGAAACTTTAGGCTAAAACCCCCAGTTTCTCTTTAAAATTCATGAACCAATTGCCAAAAATGAAGATAGATTCATGGAATAAGATCAAAACCAAGTGTATAATACTTACCCCAATCCCTGTGATGAAAATTGCTCCAAA